CAAGGGAAGGGCGTGTGAACATTCTGCGCAACTGAGAGAAACACCAGCCAACCTGCCAGCAATGGAGCCTCATTCCCAAACAAGTTCGGCAGACAACCAAGTGCTACACTACACGTTGCACACACCGAAGCACCCAGTGATCATCCATGTGCCAGGGGTCATCATAGGCGAAAAGTCATGGCAGCTGGGGCAGCATAGCTGAACCCAGCTGCGAAGTCTTCTCGCGAGACCGGCGTCAGTCAATGGTTCAGGGTTCAGGGTTTAGGGTTTAGGGTTTAGGGCTTCTTGTTGTGGGGACTCCCTGGTTCTCCGTGCCATGCATCGGAGTCGAAAGTCTCGCAGAAGATTGGACCTTCCAATGACACGCGCGGCTACTGGCCCCACAGGGGGGTCTTCACCGCTTGCAAGGGAAGGGCGTGTGGACTTTCTGCGCAACTGAGAGAACCACCAGCCAACCTGCCAGCAATGGAGCCTCAATCCCAAACAAGTTCGACAGACAACCAAGTGCTACACTACACGCAGCACACACTGATGCTTCCAGTCCTTAAAGCAAGTTCCATCAGGCATGTGCCAGGGGGCGTCACGGGCGAAAAGTCATGGCTGTTGGGGCAGCACAGCTGAACCCAGACGCAAAGTCTTCTCGCAATGGGGGACTCCCTGGTTCTCCGTGCCATGCATCGGAGTCGAAACTCTCGCAGAAATCGGACCTTCCAATGACATGCGCGGCTACTGGCCCCACAGGGGGGTCTTCACCGCTTGCAAGGGAAGGGCGTGTGAACATTCTGCGCAACTGAGAGAAACACCAGCCAACCTGCCAGCAATGGAGCCCCACTCCCAAACAAGTTCGACCGACAACCAAGTGCTACACTACACGCTGCACACCGAAGCACCCAGTGATCATCCATGTGCCAGGGGTCATCATGGGCGAAAAGTCATGGCAGCTGGGGCAGCCATGCTGAACCCAGCTGCGAAGTCTTCTCGCGAGACCGGCGTCAGTCAATAGTTTAGGGTTTAGGGTTTAGGGTTTAGGGCTTCTTGTTGTGGGGACTCCCGGGTTCTCCGTGCCATGCATCGGAGTCGAAACTCTCGCAGAAAATAAAACCTTCCAATGACACGCGCGGCTACTGGCCCTCCATAGGGTCTTCACCGCTTGCAAGGGAAGGGCGTGTGGACCTTCTGCGCAACTGAGAGAAACACCAGCCAACCTGCCAGCAATGGTGCCTCACTCCCAAACAAGTTCGACATACACACCGAAGCTTCCGGTCCTTAAAGCAAGTTCCATCATGCATGTGCCAGGGGCGTCACGGGCGAAAAGTCATGGCTGCTGGGGCAGCACAGCTGAACCCAGATGCAAAGTCTTCTCGCAATGGGGGACTACCTGGCTCTCCGTGCCATGCATCGGAGTCGAAAGTCTCGCAGAAGATTGGACCTTCCAATGACACGCGCAGCTACTGGCCCTCCATGGGGTCTTCACCGCTTGCAAGGGAAGGGCGTGTGAATTTTCTGCGCAACTGAGAGAAACACCAGCCAACCTGCCAGCAACCTGCTAACAATGGAGCCTCACTCCCAAACAAGTTCGACAGACAACCAAGTGCTCAGTACACATTGCACACACCGAAGCACCCAGTGATCATCCATGTGCCAGGGGTCATCATGGGCGAAAAGTCATGGCAGCTGGGGCAGCAATGCTGAACCCAGCTGCGAAGTCTTCTCGCGAGACCGGCGTCCGTCAATGGTTCAGGGTTCAGGGTTCAGGGTTTAGGGTTTAGGGTTTAGGGCTTCTTGTTGTGGGGACTCCCTGGTTCTCCGTGCCATGCATCGGAGTCGAAAGTCTCGCAGAAGATTGGACCTTCCAATGACACGCGCGGCTACTGGCCCTCCATGGGGTCTTCACCGCTTGCAAGGGAAGAGCGTCTGAACTTTCTGCGCAACTAAGAGAAACACCAGCCAACTTGCCAGCAATGGAGCCACACTGACACATGCACGAACATGCTACGACTTGACACATTCCAGCACAGGCATTCCTTCATGCATCACTGGCCCCACCCCAACCCGCCAAACTCTAAACCCTAAACCCTACACCCGACACCCACCCCGAACCCCAAGCCCCCAAACCGTAAACCGTAAAGCCCCAAACCCTATAAACCACAAAACCCTAAACCCCTAGAAGCTTGGCACGTTCCCCCGTCAACTAACAGTCCTGAAGAGAGATTATCATCGGGGGTACTAGAATTCCTAACAAGGACTGTTTTTTAGGGGGAACATCCCGACCCTGAACCCTAAACCCTAAACCCCGGGACCATCCCAACTATAAACCCCGCATCTGGGGTCTCCAGACTGGCAGCTTCCGTCGCCGCCTCCATCGGCAGTTCGCCAAGGGTGTTGGTCTTCGTGGTGTCTTTGTGGTTTAGGGTTTAGGGTTTCGGGCTTAGGGTTTAGGGGTTTCGGGTTTCGGGTTTAGGGTTTCTTGGGGTTTCGAGCTTCAGGTTTCGGGTTTAGGGTTCAGGGTTTCGGGTTTAGGGTTCAGGGTTCGGGTTTAGGGTTTCGGGTTTAGGGTTTCGGGCTTTATTACGGTTTCGGGTTTCGGGTTCGGGTTTAGGGCTTAGGTTTCGGGTTTAGGGTTTCGGGTTTAGGGTTAGAGGTTCGGGCTTTCAGGGGCCTAGGGTTTAGAGGTTCAGGGGTTTAGGCCTGGAGGGTTTAAAGGCTTTCGGGGTGTAGACTGTAGGATTTGGGGTTTTAGGGGCTTTAGCGTCTAGGGCGCCACCAGAACTTCTCAAACGGCCTAAGCCAAAGCCGTGAAGCCGAAACCCTTAGCCCCAAAACCCTAAACCCTAAACCTCAAACCCTAAACCCCAAACCCTAAACCCTAAACCCTGAACCAAGCCCTAAACTCTTCACTCTGCAAAGCAGACACCGAAAGCCAGCCTCACTGCACTTGGCACGCTGGCGATAGGACCCATCACCTTGCGGGTGCAGGGTTTAGGTTTTTGGGTTTAGGGTTTAGGGTTTAGGGTTTAGGGTTTAGGGTTTAGGGTTTAGGGTTTAGGGTTTAGGGTTTAGGGTTTAGGGTTTAGGGTTTAGGGTTTGGCGTTTAGGGTTTAGGGTTTAGGGTTTAGGGTTTAGGGTTTAGGGTTTAGGATTTAGGGCTTCTCCTCCGGCGTCTCCGACAGCTAAGTACCCGAAAGCCTCATGAACCCCAAATCTTGGGCCCATGTTTGAGGGCCTAAGACAATCAGTAGACAGCCCCCAAACCGGGAATTAGGATTTAGGGTTTAGGGTTAAAGGTTTAGGGCTTAGGGTTTTGGGTTTACTTACCTTCCACTGCATACCACACCCCAATCCCCTGAGTTAAGCTCTGGCATCCGCAGAAGCATGAGAAAAACACTCGCCGATAGGAACCGCACGTAGACACTCACCGATTACAACAATCTAAATTCCAGGCTAGTTGGGAGCTTGCTTGGGAAACTCCCTGAACCCCAAACCCCAAACCCTAAACCCTAAACCCTAAACCCTAAACCCTAAACGCCAAACCCTAAACCCTAAACCCTAAACCCTAAACCCTAAACCCTAAACCCTAAACCCTAAACCCTAAACCCTAAACCCTAAACCCTAACCAGGCCAGGCCCCAGGCTCATGAAGATGGACATGGCTCTTGCAGGAGGCTCTTCGATCGGCAGGGTTTAGGGTTTAGGGTTTAGGGTTTAGGGTTTGGGGTTTAGGGTTTAGGGTTTACGGTTTAGAGTTTAGAGTTTGGGGTTTAGGGTTTGGGGGTTTAGGGGTTTAGGGGTTAGGGTTTAGGCTTTGCATACGATAGGCTGGCGCTGGTTCAGGGTATTTTGGGCTGTTTGGGGTCTAGGGCAAGCCGTGCTTTCAGAAGAAGCCCCTGCTCTTTCAAGACTGGAGCCCGACCGCCACGACACGCCTGCAGGCAGTATATCTGGGTTGGGGTTTTGGGGAACCCTAAACCCTAAACCCTAAACCCTAAACCCTAAACCCTAAACCCTAAACCCTAAACCCTAAACCCTAAACCCTAAACCCTAAACCCTAAACCCTAAACCCTAAACCCTACCAAAAAGCCCTAAACCCTAAACCCTACAGGATGCCCAACACCCTAAACCCTACAAGAAGCCCAAAACCCTAAAACCTACAAGCAGCCCAAAACCCGAAGCCCTACAAAAGGCCCTAAACCCTAAACCCTACAAGAAGCCCTAAACCCGACATCCTAAACCCTAAACTGGCCCTAAACCCTGAACCCTAAACCCCAAATCCTGCAAAAAATCCGAGCTCATTGACCTGGCGTTGAAGCGTAGAGCCCTGCTTCAAAGCGAGTCGCCTGTTCAATTCTCAAGTCGTCCTTGACAGGGCTTAGGGTTTAGGGTTTGGGGTTTGGGGTTTAGGGTTTAGGGTTTAGGATTTAGGGTTTAGGGTTTAGGCTTTAGGCTTTAGGGTTTAGGGTTTAGGGTTTAGGGTTTAGGGTTTAGGGTTTAGGATTCAGGCGTTCTAAATCTCGAGATACCCCCCCCCCCCCAGAACACAAACAAACAAAAATGCGGAGGGATTTGGGCAGCTTTGGGCAGCTCTCTCAACGATGGGGTCCTTCTTGGGACTTTCAAAAAGAAAGGGCATTTAGGGCTTAGGGTTTAGGGTGTAGGTTAGGGTTTAGGGTTTAGGATTTAAAGGGGGCCTGCAAGGGAACCTCAACCCCAAAAAAGGGGGAATAAGGGCCTACTCTGGGTCCTAGAAGATCAAAGAATCACGGGGGGAACCCTAAGGATTTGGGTATAGGGTTTAGGGTTTAGGGTTTAGGGTTTAGGGTCTAGGGTCTAGGGTTTAGGGTTTAGGGTTTAGGGTTTAGGGTTTAGGGTTTAGGGTTTAGGGTTTAGGGTTTAGGGTTTAGGGTCTAGGGTCTAGGGTTTAGGGTTTAGGGTTTATGGGTTGGAGAGGCAAGATGCGGCTTGTTCCATCCTGGCGCGCGCCCCGCTCAGTTGCCCGGGCGAACGTCACACCTGGTGAGGTTCGATGGACGCAACCCTAAACCCTGAACCCTAAACCCTGAACCCTAAACCCTAAACCCTGAACCCTAAACCCTAAACCCTAAACCCT